GGGGGGGGGCTGGGGGGGGAGCGGCCAGCTGCCCCCCTCCACGGCAGATGAAAGGCGCTCTGTGTGCACTTGTCCCCCGGGTGGTGGGTGGCAGCCCCCGGGACATGGGGCACAGCTCTGTCCCCTCGTCCAGGACAAACCCCTCACCGGGGCTGCCGTGACTCGGTTTCCCATCGCAGCTCAGGGAAAGTGCCCATCGCACAGCAGAGAGGGCAGGGGAGAAGGGGGGAGGCATTTTCTCTCCTGCAGTTGGGCACCCCACCGGCTGTGCTGCCTGCTGTCTCCTGCAGAGAGGTGGGCAGCAGCAGAGAGAAAGGGTGGGCAGACCCTGGCCTGCCCCTAGCCCTGGCAGCTGTGCCTCGGTTTCCCCACCGAGCATCTCCCGTCTTACAGCACCCTTAGACCTGGCCCAGCACCCCCTTCCCAAAGGAAAGCCCTAAATCGTTAGTGCCAGGGACCACGGGCTCCAGGACGGCCAGACCAGAACCAGGCTCCTGGCTCTTGCCCCACGGCTCTGGGGTCCCAGGCCCTGCCCAGCCCCTTCCCAACACAGCGCTGGAGTGCCGAGGGCTGGGGAAAAGCCGGCGATGTCCACGGGTGCTGGAGCAAAGCGGGGAGGCGCAGCAGCACAGCGCTTCGGGAGGAAGGCGCTTCAGCTCTGCCACCTCTGGTATTTTTCCCATGGAGCTGGGACTATTGCAAAAATAAACACGAGTAAGTCGCTGACTTCCCTGCCGCCCCTCCTGGGGTCCTTCCCAGCCCTGCACAGCCCTGACCACGGCCGTCACCGCTGGGGACATGGGCTCCCTGGCTGCGAAGCTGGGAAGGATGCCGCCCTCCTCCATGAGCCCCCCAGGGGAGGGATGCTTTTTAGGGATGGAAGTGCAGAAGGCTCTGCTTTCTCTTTCCTTGCTGGCACTTAATTAACGAGGAATCCCGAGGCAGCCTGCTCGGCTGGGGGCAGCTCATGCTGGGCACGGGGGCTGCCTGCTCCCCCCTGGCATGGCCTCAGCAGGGATGCAGCCCACCCCCCCCTGCAGCCCCTCGCCCACACCCCCACTCGGGGTACGTGGCTTCTGCCACAGGCACCCTGGATGCGCCACTGGGTGCACAGGACCGCAGGCACGCCTTGCAACCCCTGCATGCATGCGCACACATGCCAGTCCCGCATGCAGATGCACGTGCACGCCCTTGCACACGCAGGCACGCCCACCCGGGCACGCCCACACTCCTTGCATGCACACGCACATTTGCTAGCCCACCTGGGCATGCACCCTGCATGCAGGTGCGCACCCTGCACGCACACGCACACACATGCATTCTGCACATGCATGCACGTGCACTTGTGCATGCACACGCTGGAAGCACGCGCCTCCGGCACGCGCACCGATGCATCCTGCGCGTGCACTGCAGGTACCTCCCCCCGCACACGCACCCGTTGCCCTGACTCACAGCCGACGCAGACCCACACCGTGCCGGCAG